AGTTTCTCGAGATATTGGCACCTTGTTTCGGGATCATCAGGGCTCATGGGTGCGCCCTGAACAACAACCAGTTCGGCTAGTTCCGCCTTGACTATTAAATTTAATCGAGCCGAGATCTCTTCTAGACCCACTGCAAAAGTTCAACAGTCTTTACTCAACAGGAACTTCAACAGACATCTAACTTCTTTATTTTCCTTTCAATTTTTCTCGCTTTGAACCAGTTCTCACTACTACAGAGCTTGTTCTCGAAAGAGATAACATTCTTGCTCAAAAGCTTTTCTCGTTGTTTACTCATTTATTTATCGTAGATAAGTCAGATTTTTAAATTGCAACGTCTAGTATTGATGAGTTAGACTCTCTGATAATTTTCATCGGTTTTATACATATATATATATATATATATAAATAATAATTAGATAGGTCTAACAATACTGTGTGTGTGTATAACGAATAGTGATCTAGATATCTATTATTTTTATTTATCTTTATAATGTCTCACCATTTTCTAATTACTATCTTCATAATTATTTAATATAATAATATTTAATTTTATATAATTATATTACATACAATATTATACATCATGTAATAATTTTCATAATTTTATCTTTGTAATTTTTTTGTAAAAATCACACGTGCGTGCAATGTATACAATTTAATATAACATGCAATAAATTAAAATTATAATGCACATTTCGTATTAAAAATGTAATATCCCCAAATGTAAATATGTGTATTTCATAACGAATGAATGCTATAACATATACAAACAGGATTCTAAAATCTATTAGTTATTTATAGTTATTTATATCCCATTGTAATTTTCATCACTCTAAATTATGGCACTGAATGATCAAATTTCATTTATGTATAAATTATAAAATTCAGTAATGTTGAAATGATCTCTTCAAAGATTGCACAGAAATTAGTATAGAATTTACTTTGTAAATTTTTTGTTATACAAGACGATCCATAACTGACGTTCTATTGGACAGTTCAACGAGAAAAAAATGAGATGAAAATGTGAAATAAAATTTTGTCATACGAGGCTTTGTTTTTTTTTTTTTTTTTTT